CCATAGCTCTCACTCGGCTCTTGTGAGTGTTGTACGATGTGTGATAGTATTACGGCACTGTCAAGTTCATACAGTTATGAGGGGTCATGTAAGACCTTGAACTTAAGTTTATGCTATCTGTAAATGCATAGAAAATAGTATTCTGGTGTCCGTCCCCCCCCACTGTTTTGCCATCTAATGTTTTTGTTGAATTTGAGTTATGGATGTGCTTTTAGTGTATCTTAGCCTTTTTTTCTGCCCTTTTAAACCAGTAATAATTGAAACAATGTGGAACACTGGTTTGAACTTCAAAAATTACTTTCAGTTTAGAGTGCAATTGTATGTTAAGTTTTCAGCATATTGGGCTAAAAACATGAGTACAGATGGCATCAGAAATAGCCTTGTTTAGAAATACTGCTGATTCTGTTAAAAATAATAGTTCTGAGTCATTCGGTGTACATTATGCCCATCCTGCATGGTGCTAAGATAGGTCTTCAATTACTGTCTGAAATTATAAACAATTCCTATATTTGTGCAGTTGAACTTGGTTTTATACTCAAATGTTGTAAATCTAGTGGTAACGAAGGTAAGCATAACCTAAAAAACCTAAACTGAAGGATAACTCAATTTGGGTTTTGTTTACAAACATTGAAAGAAACACACAGTGAGGTCTACTTGTGTGTGTATATATGTAGATGACAGGAATGTCTCTTCACACAGGCCCAAGTATAGTTATTAGCTAAAAAGGAGGAACAGATATGAAGAGTGGCTTACTGAAAATTGATTGATAGAATAGCTTTTGTTAGAAGTCTTTTTAAATGTAGATTCATGCTTACCTTTAAAAGATCTAGTAAATTTTAAAACATCTTGTTGCCTTAGTATTCCAGCTGATACTGGGCTGCGAGCGTATCTGGTGTACTGCTGCCAGCGATTTCGCGTATTTAATTTTCATGATGATTCTCATACTTTTTGGCATTTGGTGAATAAACAAAACTTTTAGAAAAGTGAATACAAATAATAAAACTCATTCTATTTAAAAGGCAGGGGGAAGCAAGTAGTGTTTACAGAAGACCAAATGTATCTGATTTGTCTGAGTTGTCATCAGTGCTCCATTTCCTGCCAAAGGAGAGGTGTATGTCTAAACCAGAATGTCTTTTTACAGATACCATTTTGAAATATTTCTAAATATCAATATTAATATTTATACTTACAGTCCTCAAAAAATGAATATACTTTTAAGTCTTAACTCATTGGGATTTGAAATGTGTCATTGTTAGTGTTGTTCCTCTGTGGTTCCGTTCTTTATTAGCAGCTTGAGTAAGTTCACAGCCCTTAAGCAATTTTATTTACAACCCTTACCACGTGGCTGGGTGCCTGTACTGTTAGTTAAGGTGCTTTTCTTCTCAGTGGTTTTCTAGTTACTTGTTGATGGGTCTGATCTTTTATTATTTAATTATTCGTAAAGTAGTTGTAAAGTCAGGACTATTCATAGAGTCCAAGCAAAAAAAAAAAAAAAAAACCTGACATTGTTTCTGTACTTCACAGTCCAGAGACTGTGAAGACAGAAACCTTTTTAAATGATGATGAGTCATAGGGACAGCTCCATTTCCAAAAGCATTCTTTTGTACTTCTCCAGTAGGACAAGATAAACTAGGTTATGTTTAAGTGACCATTAAAATAATTTGACTTACATTCTTTAAAAGAACAGAAAAAAACTTTTGCAGCCTTCCATTTGCGTGTTTTATCAGTAAATCACTCCTAAGTCAGTAAAGAGTTTGCTTAGAATAATGCTGTAAACTACTACTAATACATTTATTCAAGCTTGCATAACTAAATAGCATATTAATTTAAGTTTAGTTAAATTGATTCAGGTTTATTTGTGGAGAAGATTTTACACTATTCAGCAGGCATGATACCAAAAGTAGTGTAAAATTATTGTGGAAAAGTACTATTTTAAAGCACTGTATTAATCTTGAGGAAAAAACGGGAGAACTGCATGTAGACAGCATTAGTCTTGAGTCCTGGAGTTATAATAAATGAATAAATAAAAATTCACATTTTCACAGTAATAGGTAACTTGCCGTGTTTCCTCCAAATGCGTTATTGCAGAAAACTTCTCTGTTCCCTTATTCAAGTAAAATTGTAAATTCTGCAATTTTTCATTTTAGCACACTGCCTCATTTTCCACGAGTACCTGGCCCAGGGGCTGCATCTCCCTCTCTAACCTTTGTCTGCTTTGTCAGCTTAGATTTCAAAGTGTGCCATAATTGAGTTTGAAATTGGTGTCATAGCCTCATAACAGCACTGTTACCTTAGCAATGGTGCTATAGAAGAGAGAGGTAGAAAAATATAGAAAAGAACGCTTTACCTACTAACCTGAAAAAAAGTATGTGCTGTTGAAGAAAAGGGGATAATTTAAAATCTGAAAGTTACAACCTAAATTAATGAATTGTAGCAGAGAAAATTGAGGAAGGTGATCCAGTATGCTAATGTTTAACTGTTGCCATATTCAGAAAGACCAGTCCCTAGCTGCTTGGACACCTCAGTCATGTAATTTGGTAGCACAGGAAAAGGTGAGAGTATTTCCACTTAGCTGTTCATATTGGCTCTTGAAGCAGGAAGACTCATTATGTAGGAAAGTATCCTGAATGTATGAGCTGTGAAATAGCAGAACTGCCATGCAGGGAGGTGAGAAAGAGGCTTCTAAGAAGGGAATGGGAGGAGGGGTTGGAAGTTTGGGTTGGTTTTTTTTTCCCTGCACTAAGGTGCTGTTCTCAGAGGAGGGGGATTAGTAGTTATTTCTAAATTTATCGGAGTTGACAGGTCTTTCAGAAGCCTGCAAAATTCCCAAGACCACTCCATATATCCACATTGCCCTTTTAGATTTTTTAGCTAAGACTGCTGTCTGCAGATGTTATCTGTGCTTGTTAGATAATGTAGGAGTCCTTTGAAAAACACCAGATTACTTGTGTGTCTGACTTTGCTGACAAGGCATATGTTATGTATAGAGGTGGCTGGGTCATATGGCTAATGAGGATGTCCTTGAATGTACTTAAAAAGCACAAGCACAGTGGAGATGTCTTTCTGAGAGTAGTGGTGTTATCACACCAGACTTAATCCTAAAGGCTATGCCAGCATTAACAGGTAGTGCAGTAAGAGCAGATCTGTAGATGAATTATGTTGAGGAGTCAGCATGCATACTGTATATGTTTCAGGGGATTTGGGTTTTGGACTAGCTCCAGCCTGGTCCTGTGGAGTGAATGCCCATTAGCAGTCTTGAGTGTAACTGCTGCCTTGGTTTGATGGGAAAGGAATTTGGTTCACACTCTTGAGATCACCCTGCGATGTGAACTGAAGTACAGCTGGTGGGGCAGGTGGGAGTCAGACTGATCCAAACTAAAATGCAAATGCAGACACACGCCTTGACTCTGTCACTCAGGCAACATGTAAATTGGGAAATTTGGCGTCAACTCCACCTGCAGAATTATTTACACAAAACAGTGTGAACATAATTAGTGTGTCTGTACTCCAGAATTTCTCTTCCTAGAGTACCGGCACCTAATTACACAGTGGGTGGCTGCAGTGACTGTGCTGCTACCATTTGCTCTGAGTCTAGTACTTGGATATTATTTCCCCAGAACTCTGTGCAACTCTTTACTCAAAATCCTTTTACTTTTTTTTTTTTTAATACAAGGAAAACCACTTTGAATAGAGAAAAGCTCAGTAGTGTGTCTGTTTAAAGAATATCTTGACTTCTTGTAGATGCTGTTTTGTTTCCTTTGAAGAAAGCAAAATGCATTTAACAGCTACCTTCTGTACAAGTTGCAAGAACCATTAATGTTGACAGTAAGGTATGCTAGGCTCTTAAAAGAGCAAAACAGTGATGTGGAGTTTTTTTAAATTGTCTAAAATTCATTAGTTTTCAGGTCTGAACAGAAGTACAATTCTGGGTGTAGAGTCTATGTGTGAAAAGTATGGAGTACCTTTTCATTATTCAGAATTGTTTTCATTTTCTGACTATTGCTGCTTCTAAAAATATTTTCTATGTCACAGTATGAAAAATGGTATTCTAAATTCCAGTAAGAGCATTTTGCCTTGTGGCTAGTCTTTTCAATTTATTTTTGCAATTGATGTATCCACCATTATCATATAGAAAAGGCATTCACTAACTTGCATTTAATTTTCTACCTGAATTTAGGCCACTGAGCATTAGGGACCTGGGGGCTTGCAGGCCGCTTTTAGTGTAGTATTGTTGACTTGATTCTTTTTGTGCATTAGAAGTATGTTCTTTCGGCTGTATAATTTTATCATACGTAGTTTCAATGGCACACTGCAATATTCTTGGCTTTGAAGCTTCAGCTGCATGAAGGAGTCCTAAATCTCTTGTAGGCGTGGTAGTGGTGGTAGTAGTAGTAGTAGTAATAAGCCAAATAATATGACACTGTAAGTCTTTTCCTCACAGGTGTGGTGGTGGTAGCAGTACTAGTAGTAGGAATAATATGCTCTCCTTGATGGCTTACAGTGGTGCTGAGGCCCTGCAGAAGATAAATACTGGTGCTCACTTCTGCTCTGATGTCTTTGAGGTTTAAAAAATTTTGTATTCAAGATAGTTTTGTAACTTTTAGTTATGTACCTAAATTTCATTTTCGTAAGACTAACTTTAGGCACACAGATGGAGAAATTTAACTAATTTCTCTGTGCTTCCATTTCTCCATCTGCAGATTCAAGATAACTGGTATTCACTTTGAGAAGAACTTTTAAAAAAGCCGATAGATTGGACTACCAGAGAGGATGAGTTATTGAGGATATACTTTACATCATGACAGTGCTTGGGGAAATACTCTTGAATATATTTGATGGCAATTAAAGTTATGACACTTGATCACTGCTCACATGAAATACAGTTTACATCAGTGTCTCTGTAGCTGTTACATAAATGTGCACTTGAGGGCAAGATAAGATGTATTTACCTTGTGGTTTATTATTTTAAGGATTTCTTAATTAAGCTTACTTTCTTACAGGAGGTGCTGAAACAGCTACAAGGAAGTATTGAAGATGAGGCAATGGCGTCTTCTGGACAAATTGACTTACTGGAGCGACTTAAAGGTAAATCTAGAACTATGTTTTGAGTAGGTTCATTTGTTTCTCAATTGTTTTCTTCTTTGGGATTAAATTTTCTAACTCAGCTGCATCTTCCTTCCTGTGCTGACTTTGATGGTTAAGCATAGTCTCAAAGCCTGTTATTTTTGCTAAGTATTTTAAGACACATTCTCGAAAAAGTACGTTCCTATGCTGCTTCTGTGCTTTTGCTGCTGTTACCCTAGGGCTTCATATTAATTGCTTTTGATACAACTTGCATTTCATTCAGTTCTTCAGAAAAAATATATTTGTTTAAATTAATAATGGATTAGTTCCACCAACTTTCTAAACTTTTTTATATGCCCTGCCCTCTCCATGTAGTATTGCTGGAATTGTATCTCTCATGCTGCAAACTGATGCCCCCTTCCCTAGAGTATCTGCTGGAATGTGCACCATCCCATTACATGGGATGTACAAAGCAAGCCCACTGACTCCCTGTATACATCCATTGTCCCTACCACTGAACCAGAAATGTCATAGGGGGTGTCTGCATTTAAGGGCCCTGTGGAGAACAAAGTTGTCATCATTTACATGACGGTGAAGCATCTGCAGGGTCCCTGAGAAAGAAGCTATTAGGAAATGGGCCACAAGATCAATTCATATGACATTTATGCGAAACTCTGCATATTTCTTAAGTCTGCTGGGAAGGAGGCAGGCAGGCTCATGTAGGGATACTGTTCTGATTGTCAGGATTGCAGTTTGGCCATATGCTCAGACAACTAGTATTTCTTCAAGTGTGCCATTAAGATTGGCTTTGTTCACATAATGTTCTTCTGTGCATTCCAGTGCAAAATGTTTCCATCAAGACATTTTCTTCAGGAAATAACAAATCAAGATAGAAATGATCTTTTAAATTTGTGCTGCTGAACTTCAACTCTGAAAATGTTTGCTCTTTATTATCCAGAACTGAACTTGGAAAATACCAACTTCCCTGGAGTGAAGTTGAGGCCAAAGGTGTCTGTGCGTTCATATGGGAGTCGGGAAGGGTCTGTATCAAGCCGTTCAGGAGAGTGCAGTCCTGTTCCCATGGGATCATTTCCAAGAAGAGGATTTATGAATGGAAGCAGAGAAAGCACTGGTTATTTAGAAGAGCTAGAAAAAGAGAGGTAAATTTCTTTGTTTATTCATCCAGTGTGGATTGACTTCTAATTTTAACATGAAAGTTTACTGACACACTTAGTATTTAACTAGTATGCATATGGTTTTGATCACTGGTATATTTATCTTGACGGGTAAGGAAACCAGGATCTACATTATATTTAGATACACACCAAAAAAAAAAAAAAAAAAATCTTAAAACACATCATACAGTTTCTCCTGCTTCTTCATACATGCATTTCATTGTTACTGTTTGTTGGCTGAAGGTTGTTTTATTTTTATCAGTAGATTGTCAACATCTGAAATATTTTTAGAGACAAGGAGTGGAGCATCCTAAACACTTCTGTATCTCCTCAGCACTGTTGATAAGTGGTGGAACTATAACAATGTGATGGTGCAATCTCTTTTTCTTTCTTGCAAATGGTTGTAACTGCTGAAGCTGGTTGATCAGTTATTTGCTATCAGCAGACATTTACCTAGTGATTCTGCTCTCTCAGCAAAAATGTCAGCTAAACAAAAATATTTACTGTATCTTCAAGGTGTTGTTCCCATCTGATGTTTTGTGTTGACAAAACCATGAAATTTCTTTTCTTGGAAGGTAATGGTATCCATTTAATAGGAAGAATATATGTTCAGGGCATAATACAGATTTGTGGCACTTTATCAGTCACTTACAAAGGAAATTAAAAGTAAGAGATATGCAGCTGTTTCCACTGAAGACATCTTTATATCTTAAAATGAACCTGACTGAAATCCCAGATGTTTTCAGAGGCCTGTCTGTAAGACAGGGTTTCCTAAAGATTTGGTGATTGACAGTTACTTAATGCATAGGATATCAAGTTGGGGGCTGCAAAACCAAATGAATAGCAACACAGTATTTTTATGCCTAGTAGGTGTTAACAAGCAAAAAATTCCACTTGGAAATCATAATACAAAAGTTCGGTGGGTAGTAAGTGGTTTGTGGGCAGCCCTTCAGAAACCACTCCTCTAAATGGCGTTTCTTGGTGCTCAGTAAAATTTTTGCAGTCAAGAGCTGAAAGGAGTACGTTTTTCTTCCAAGGTCCTATGTCTAGGTCCCTTTCTTTTGGTCCTACTGGTAGAATGAAAGTGACTTCCCATGGGTCTGTACTGAGCCTCTTCTAGAGGCCACTCTATTTTTTAATTTTCCTAGTTGGGATCACTAATTATATTTGTTCCATTGCATAAAACCTAGATTCCTGTGGAGCCATGTAAGAATATTTAGGGGTCGAGTGCTTATGGGTAAGGATGTGGGGGAAGGCCAACAAGGCAGATGTCCTGCTGGGAGTCTGCTATAGACCACCCAACCAGGATGAAGAGGTAGATGAAGCATTCTGTAAGTGGCTGGCAGAAGTCTTGCAGTCGCTAGCCCTTGTTCTCGTGGGGGACTTCAACTTTCCAGACATCTGCTGGAAATACAACACAGCAGAGAGGCAACAGTCTAGGAAGTTCCTGGAGCGTGTGGAGGATAACTTCCTGACGCAGCCGGTAAGTGAGCCTACCAGGGGATGTGCCTCGCTTGACCTGCTGTTTACAAACAGAGAAGGACTTGTGGGAGATGTCATGGTTGGAGGCTGTCTTGGACTTAGCGACCATGATATGATAGAGTTCTCGATTTTTGGTGATGTAAGGAGGAGGGGCAGCAAAACCATTACCATGGACTTCTGGAGGGCAGACTTTGGCCTGTTCAGGATGCTGGTTGGGAAAGTTCCTTGTGAGGCAGTCCTGAAGGGCAAAGGGGTCCAGGAAGGCTGGGCTTTTTTCAAGAAGGAATTCTTAAGCGCAGGAGTGGGTTGTCCCCATGTGCCGTAAGATGAACTGGCGAGGAAGACAACCGACCTGGCTGAACAGGGAGCTTTTGCTGGGACTCAGGAAAAAAAGGAGAGTCTACCACCTTTGGAAGAAGGGGCAGGCAACTCAGAAAGAGTACAGGCATCTTGTTAGGTCATGCAGGGAGGAAATTAGAAAAGCAAAAGCCCAGCTAGAGCTCAATCTGGCCACTGTTGTAAGAGAGAACAAAAAATGTTTTTACAAGTACATCAGCAATAAAAAGAGAGCCAAGGAGAATCTCCATCCTTTTCTGGATGTGGGGGGGAACATTGTCACCAAGGATGAGGAAAAGGCTGAGGTACTTAATGCCTTCTTTGCCTCTGTCTTTAATAGCCAGACCAGTTATCCCCAGGGTTTTCAGCCCCCTGAGCTGGAAGAGGGACAGGGAGCTCTGCTGAATGGAGTCCCCATAGTCCAGGAGGAAGCAGTTAATGACCTGCTACGCCACCTGGATATGGGGCCAGATGGGATCCACCCAAGAGTACTGAGGGAGCTGGCAGAGGAGCTTGCCAAGCCACTCTCCATCATCTATCAGCAGTCCTGGTCAACAGGGGAGGTCCCTGATAACTGGAGGCTTGCCAATGTGACACCCATCTACAAGAAGGGCTGGAAGGAGGATCTGGGGAACTACAGGTCTGTCAGCCTGACCTCGGTGCCGGGAAAGATTATGGAGCAGTTCATCTTGAATGCGCTCATCAGGTGTGTGCAGATCAACCAGGGGATCGGGCCTATCCACCATAGATTCATGAAAGGCAGGTCCTGCTTGACCAACCTGATCTCCTTCTATCACCTGGTGACCCACCTGGTGGATGAAGGAAAGGCTACGGACGTCATCTACCTGGACTTCAGTAAAGCCTTTGACACTGTCTCCTACAGCATTCTACTAAGGAAGCTGGCGGCTCATGGCTTGGACGGACGTACTCTTTGCTGGGTAAAAAACTGTCTGGGTGGCCAAGCCCAGAGAGTTGTGGTGAATGGAGTTAAGTCCCGTTGGTGACCGGTCACGAGCATTGTTCCCGAGGGCTCTGTTTTGGGGCCAGTCTTGTTTAATA